AAAAAATAAATAAATAAATGAATAATGAAATGTGAAAATAAATAATTCATGTGACTTTTTCATTTAGAATTTAACTAGTAAGTAGACTGTAATGAATTTTGTTGATGAAATACTTTCTTTAAAATAAAAAATCATCACTCAAGCTTTTCAGCACCTTCTCAGGCAAAGAACAATGACCACAGTAATTATCAGTAAATCTCAGCATCGACAGCACATCAACAGTATTTATCAGTATTTATCAGACTTAACAGTAAAGACGACAGTAATTATCAGTATTTATCAGAAACAACTAAAATCAGTTATCAGTAACAACAGTAAGAATAACAGTAAATATCAGTATTTATCAGCAAGAACAGCAGAGTATCAGTAATCATTAAACATTATCAGTAAAATTTGGGATTCTCAGCACTTTTTTTCGTCCAGTAGTGATGATAGTACATGACTTATAGGTGAACAGAATAACCTTTTCGTTCGTCGTCGGCATTTCCGGTCGCTTACGGAAGTGATCAAGAAATCGTAAAATTTCAGCTTTCCTTTTTTAAATCAATACTTACATAACATTATTGCATCTCTTTTGTAGTTTCGAAATATGTTGGTCCCACTGGAAACAAAAACGTCAACTTCCGGTTATAAGAGAAAAACTACATAATTTGAGTATTTTTCTTTCCCATTAATATCCTTTGAAGAAAAAGTTTTTGAAATGAATTTTAAATGTGTTATTTAGACTGCAAATATCTAGAGTAACGTCAAATATCTTTGTAAAATTCACTTCCGGTCGCGTGTTTTTCTGTTCTCAGAATGGGAAGTTGTCTGAGCAAGATCTCGGAAACGGTAAGAGATTAAGACACCAAACTTATATGCGCAACAGACCTTAAGATGTAGGCAAAACCATTTGGGTTTAGAGCGTCAGCCGTCACTTCCGGTCGTCACAGGAAGTGATCAAAGAAATCGAAAATTTCAACTTTTCTTTTTTTAATTAAAAATTGCATCACTTTATTGCATCTTTTTCGCAGATTCCATAAATGTTGGTCCCACCGGAAACAAAAACGACGACTTCCGGTTATATGAGAAAAACTACATAATTTGAGTATTTTTCTTTCCCATAAACGCCATGCGCTCGGCACTTTGAAGTGAAAGTTGCGGGTCCTTCGGATGAGACCTTAAAAACCGAGGCCCCGTGTCACGGCAGGCGTTGGCACGATAAAGATCCCTCACTGCTCAATGGCCCTAAGTGCCGAGTAAAGGTCAAAATTTGAAGCCCTTCACCGGTATATGGTTACGTCTCTATATGAGTGAAAAATTCTCGAATGGGAAGTAAAACAACATAAATCAATCAATCAAATCAATCTTTCCCATAAATATTCTTTTTATATAAAGTATTTGAAATGAATTTTAAATATGTTATTCAGAGTGCAAATGTTTAGAGTAACCTTAAACATATTTTAAAAATTCACTTCCCGTCGCGTGTTTTCCTGTCCTTAAAATGAGAAGATTTCTGCGCGAGATCTCAAAAACAGGTAAAAGATTAAAACACCAAACTTTTATGAGTAATAGACCTTGAGGAGTAGGCGAAACCATTTGGAAATAATTTTATGTATGTTGTAGATACTGCAAATGTCTAGAGAAAAGTCAGAGACTTTTATAAAATTCACTTCCGGCCGCGTGTTTACTTGTCCTAAAAAATTAACAATACCGGAAGCGAGTTAAAAAAGTCGAATTTTTCAACTTTTTTGTCTCTGAATATTTTTAATGATTTTATTAGGGATAATAGAGACTCTTATAAGGCATGATCCTACAAGCGTAGTGGTTAGCGTGTTCAATTTTCATGTATGGTAGAACGTGTTTTGTAGATGTGTGATGAAAACATTTCGTGTGTCGTCGCCACTTCCGGTCGTCACAGGAAGTGAAGGGTAATTTTTTGAACTTTTTGGTTTTTATTATTTTTTTTTTTAATGATATTTAAAGGTTAAATAGAGAGTCTTATAAGAATGCTAAATATGTAATTTATTTAAAGATTGGTTAACAGGTACTCTAGATATTTATTACTTGCTACTTTGATGCGATGGTTTTTGATAGCGTAATGGTGAACATGTTGAATTTTCACGCGGGCGACTCGTATTCAATCCCCAGAATGTCCGAATTTTTTCACACTGTTGCTTGGGCTCAAATATAATATTTCATCTTTAAAAAGGGGGGGGGGGGCTATGTCGTTCAACGTCAGCGCAATAGTGTTTGACTTCACAATGGCACTGTGTCTTTTTACTCCTTCATAAAGAGTTTGCAGTTGAATTTTGCACTAATTAATGTGGACATATGTGTGATATGACAAAACAAGGTAAATGTAAATGTAGCTAGGTACCTACGCATTGAATCACCAACTGGAGATTTGTCAAATTCTATTTTGAAAGTAGAATTTATTATTTTCTAAACTTGATTGAATAACAAATAGCAACTTCAAATGAGAGGGAAAAAACTTCAATGAAATTTAATTTAGAGCAAGATCCGTCATAATTAAGAGCTCAAAGCGACTTAGCGCATAAAGGTATGATTAATTAATGGTATACAGTTTATTAACACAATAAAACACATAAAAATCGGTTTACTCGAAACAGTATGTGAAAAATATGCTCTCAAGTTTTACATTAGTAAAGTGTCAATCATTTGGTAAGCGTGTGTGGTGCTGACTCATGGAGGGGGGGGGGGGGTGTAACCTGAAATGCATGAAATTAGGCAAAATAAAACAAATCAGTGTAGATATGTCTTAAATTAAAAAAAAATCTTATTTATCATAATTTTATATTTTGTACAATTAATTGTGAGATTCTCAAATTTGAAAAAATTCACACAAAGATGTTTTGGAACATAGCCCCCCCCCCCCTTATAAAATGATAACTCGTATTTTCTCCGTTCCAGTTTTGCAATATTTTCAAAATATAAACGTTTAATTATATTTCATGTATGATTGATGATAGATTGTGTGTTGTTTTACGTCCCATTCGAGAATTTTTCATTCGTATAGAGACGTTACCATATACCGGTGAAGGGCTTCAAATTTTGACCTTTACTCGGCACTCAGGGTCATTGAGCAGTGAGGGATCTTTATTATGCCAACGTCTGCCGTGACACGGGGCCTCGGTTTTTAAGGTCTCATCCAAGAGACCCGCAACTTTCACTTTAGAGTGCCGAGCGCATTGCGAAGGAACTATTTTTTGTATGAAGGTGTTACAGGGAATGCACAACATACATGTAACATGTTGTTTAGTGAGGAATCAACTTCTCTGAAGACAGAGAAGGGACGGAAGACCTTCTTGTTGCCATGGCAACAAGGTTTCTAGTTATTATTATTATTCTTTTGTTGACCAAATCTTGTGCACGCGATTTCTCAAAAACTATTATGTAGTTTTCAATGAAACTTTCACAAAAAATGAGTCATTTTATGAACTTTGTTCATCACAAGTAAAATTTGGAAAATTCGCTTCCAGTTCCAAATTATGGACAATTTCCTGATTTTTAAATGGAATATTGTCCGTGGCATATCTAAAGAACGAATAAAGGTATGAACTGGAGACTTATTAGAGATTATAGAACATGTCTTCTGGATTACCAGAATCGCCTTTGCGTGTGTCGTCACTACTTCCGGTCGCTATCGGAAGCGAATTTAAAAAGTCGAATTTTTCACCTTTTATGTTTTTCAATATATTTCGATGATATTAGTAGCGTTAATAGAGACTCTTTTCAGAATGCGTTATATTCAATTTGTTTGAAAATTGATAATAAATATTTTAATTATTATTAATATTTTTTAGACAAATATTATGCACGCGATATTTCGAGAACTATTCAATGGTTTTTCATCAATCTTTCAGGGATAATGCTTTTTAAAAAGCCATTGTTACATTTGAAAGAATTTTGGAAAATTCACTTCCGGTTCCATGTTACGGGCAATTTCCTGATTTTTAAATGGATTTTTTTCCGCTGCAGATCTAAAGAACGGCTAAAGATATGAACTGGAGACTTATAAGAGATGATAGAACATGACTTCTAGATTTGCGGAATTGCCTTTTTGTGCGCCGTCAATAGTTCCGGTCGCTATCGAAGTCGAATTTTTCAACTTTTTGTCTCTCAATATTTTCGAATGATTTTTCCAGGGATAAAAGAGGCTCTTATAAGAAATGGTCCCACTGGTGTAATGGTTAGCTTGTTCAATTTTCACGTGGGCGACCTGGACTCAATCCCCAGAATGTCTGGATTTTTTGTACCTTTTTTCAGCTGAAATATAATACTGTATCTTTGAAATGATATCTGGTATAATTTTCCGTCAGCCAAAATACGTCCCAATGATATGTTATAGGTCATTTTAACAACCAAAGAATTTACAAAATGCTGACTTTAAACGAGGTTGTTGATATCACTGTAACATCAACGTGTCTGTCAGTACCCTGCCTCGTTTAAAGAAAATGATCGTACTCGGAGTATGCTCTTGAGTATCGAATAAGTTGGGAGGTGTAAATACTATATGCAAGTGATCTAGCGTGATATTACTGCATAAATAGGGAAGGCTGACGCTTGAAAATCAGTAATCATCCAGTTTATCATACAATTTAACAAGCTGTTAGTTGCCATTATCGTCTACTGTCAGTAAAATATCCAAATATGAAACAGAAGTGACAAACTCTATTATAGTGTCCTATTTTATCCTTTGTTTTTCTTTCATCTTTTCTTGCCCATTGTTATTGAGAAGAAAATTTTTTATAGATTTTTTTTATTAACATTTATCAAATAACTTTTATTTCCTATTGTGATCCTCACCAACCCCAGTGACTTAAAGAGAATTGAAAAATTAATGTTCAAGTTTACAGATGAATGACAGACTGATGCTTGACGATGAGTGATCAGAAAGAAAAGCTCACTACCAACGAGTTTAGGTGAGCTTAAAATTACATGCTCACAATAAATAAGAGAAACTCTACAATTCTCTTTGTTGATTGATTTTATATTACCAATCCATTCAGCAAATTCTGTCCAGTCTCTTGCCCTTGGTGCATTACTTCTCAGATCCAATTTCATTGACAGCTCCAGGTACTGATTATGTGTTATATTTAAGACATCCCACATTTTTGGCACACGGCCTTCCATCACTCTCTGTATAGTAAGACATAACTAAAACAAAACAATAACATATTATCAAAGCAGCATGATGTTTGTAGTAACTCTAGCAATTTTGATCTTCGAAGTTTTAAAATTGTATCTTTCTATTATGTGATTAATCACATTTATAATAATCAAAAGTTTGACAGAGACACTCTGAGGAACATCATACAAATATTTCACTAGGTCTATGAATATTAATGAGTTAAGCATTCTAGATAACTGAAAACGTATGGTTTTGTAGATGTAATTGTGTTGAAAATATATTTTGAATGTATTATTATGCCTAATTATGATTTTTGTAGTTTACTGCTGCATATTTGATAAGCCTGTAAATATATTTTGGATTTTTTGGCAAGGAAGCGGCAACAGAGTCGATCAAAATTACTTGATCACGAAAATGATCTTCAACTGATGCGGCTTATCTCCCTTTGTTTATGACGTCAGTAAGACCCAGTCACTGTTCAACGCTGTGCAGTGTACTATATGTATACGAAAATTATGTGATTTTGCAGCCTAATTTTAAGAAATGTCATAATCATGGCTAGAACCTCATATAAGTATATGATGTTCAAACAATTTAGTATTTCTTTGTTTAAATTCCATTGCATATTTGCAAGATTTTAATATTTTTTTATCTGTGTAATTTCAATTGGAACATTGTCATCCTTCGACACTTAAAATAATCTCTCTCTCGTAATTTTTCCTTTTTTGTGAGAGTTCTTGAAAAAATCTATTTTCAAAACACTCGCAGATTGTTTTCTTTTTTAAATCAACACCTCGGACAAAGCGTACACATACATGTAATAATACGGTTAGTAGAAACGTCAAACAAAATAAAATATTTTTATGTAGTGCAGTGTAAATGTAATAAAAAGTATCTTTAGGTTTAAAAATAGTGGAAATATTCTGTGAAATATCTTTCTTTCATTTTTAAATTAGTGTTTACATACACGTATTTTTCCCGTCAGTATTTATTATTAATCTAATAATTTAGAAAGTCCTACATTAAACAGGGTTCTTTCTATGTAAGCCTACTTACTTTTTCTGTATAAATGTATATACAGTACCAACCAGACCCAACCTGTCACCCAAGCAGTCCCAGAAAGCAGTCTCCGGACCTGCTCTGGGACCACTGTGGGACTGCTCTAGTCCCTGGAACTGCTTTCTGGGACTGCTTTCTTCAAATTATGTACTCAAAGTTTACTTATTCTATATTCCAAAGGAGGAAACAAGTTTTAGAAAATATTCAAAGCTATATGCTGCACTGGAAAGTAATTATTTCTAAACCGTAAAGGCAGCTATCACGGAAAAAACAACATTCAATACCGTTTTTTTACCGCTCCAAAATAAAACCTAATAATTAATTCAAATAAAGACAAAATAATCTCCCGTCATGTAAACAACGTGAGCAATTATTCGTTGATTTTTCTCCCGATTTAATTTTTAACTTATAAAAAAGTTTTACGAAATATATGAAATTATATTTTTAAATAAATATGGTTGAAAATATCGAAATCTGTGTTTTATTTCTTATTTCTTCTTGTGTACGTTTGAGGAAAAACAAGATACACGTAACAACTGCATTGTCTGGCCGATTAAAAGCCATACACGGTGTATAAAGTGTGTAAACACCTGGGGCCCGTTTCATCAAAAGTCGTAAATTTAAGACTTAACTTAGGTGTACTTCCGGGGCTTACGACATAATTTAGTCGGGCGTAATTTGCGTTTCATGAAGTGGCGTAAGTCTAGTCGTAAACGATATGCTTAGTCTCTCGACTAGGTCCTTGACAACGCTGCATTGCACATGCGCAAAAAACATAAACATACGTATTGTGTACAAAGTATGTAGAACAACACACATATACATTAACTTAAATAAAATTTACATGAATTTTTAGGGACCTTGTAGGAAACATGCATCTTAAGGATTAATAACACAAACAAACGTTTTTCTGTCAAAATTCAGATATCTTTGCTAAATAAGTTGCCTCTCTTACCTTAGAAGTGATATTTGTTTAGTCTAAACCTTAATGTTTGACCAAGCCACATACAATGTAATTTGGTGAAAAGTACAGATCATATCAGCTGATTAAACTCCAAAATTAAAAGTCTGAGAAAAGAAATAAATTTTCTTGTAAATGAATAAAAAGAAAATATTTATTTTGGAATATTTACTTTATCCCCCTCTCGATTTTAACAGAGAGAGAGAGAGAGAGAGAGAGAGAGAGAGAGAGAGAGAGAGAATCCGTTTCAATTTTATGTACTTATTTACTTCCCATCAATTCTTAAACTTTATAAATATGTTTCTTCCTACCAACCTACTAAGTTAACTCTTAAACAGGAGTCCAAGTTCATTTTCTTTTTTAACTTACTTTACTCTAGATTTGTACACAAATAACTCCGCAAATTGCGGCGAAGGGAACTGAACCCCCTCCCTGATCCCCATCTTCATCCACGCATGTGGACGTGGCCCCTGGGGCCCGTTTCATCAAAAGTCGTAAATTTAAGACTTAAGTGTACTTCCGGGGCTTACGCCAAAATTTAGTCGGGCGTAATTTGTGTTTCACGAAGTAGCGTAAGTCTAGTCGTAAACGACATGCTTAGTAAGTCCTTGACAACGCTGCATTGCACATGCGCAAAAAACATAAACATAAGTATTGTGTACAATGTATGTAGAACAACACACATATACATTAACTTAAATGAAAAATTACATGAATTTTTTGGGACCTTGTAGAAAACATGCATCTTAAACCTAATTATTATAAAATATTAACTACTTACAACATACCATCCGATTAAACTCCAAAATTAAAGGTCTGAGAAAAGAAATAAATTTTCTTGTAAGTGAATGGAAAGAAAATATTTATTTTAGAATGCTTACGGTACCCCTCTCAATTTTGATACAGGAGAGAGAAAGAGACAGAGAGAGAGAGAGAAAAAGGGAGAGAGAATCCGTTATAATTTATGTACTTGTATATATATGTAACTGGGCATATGATGGACTACTAAATTATTAAGAAGCGATAAAATAATGCAGAATATGCATAATCATTACAAAATGGAAGTTTTTTTCCCCAATTCTTCTATGACATTACCTTGTATGCCATTCAGTTTGTTCCTAAAAATGTAGTATTCATTTTTAAAAATGCGGATTCTTTTTATTTTTCCCGATAAAAAAGGCAATTAACATCGATATTCATTTTGAAATTTTCAGAAAATCATTCATTTATTAAACATTAACATACTGTTATAGATGGGCGTAATAATTGTAAAATTACGGTGATTTCCGAGCTGATTCTCAGAAGATTTCGAGTGACTTTGTTGTCCCTAGTCCTTAAGGTAAAATCCTCTTTAATTTGTATTCAATATCAGGATATACTGACTTTCAAGTATATTTCCGAAATCAGCTGGAATCTTTTTCGTCTTTTGAACGTTTACAACTTTTTCTGGACGCAGGCACTGGTCCGTGATTTTTTTTTTCAGGGAAAGGGGGGAGGGAGGGGGCAGGGTCATCAATAAACAAAACTTCCATCTGAGAAACTTGTTGACAAGCTTAAAACCGTTATTTTCGTTCCCAAACCTGAAATCTTATTTCCGGGGGGGGGGGGGGGGGAGGGGTGCTCTTCCCTTCAATTCTTAAACTTCATAAATATTGTTCTTCCTTTCAACCTACTAAACATGATATGTCTTATCATGCTTACCCTTACTAAAAAAATACTATAGTTAACTATAGTTTACTATTGTTAACTATAGTAAATCAAAGTTTTAAAGTTTTTACTTTAGTAAATCAAAGTTCCAAAGTTTTCACTATAGTAAATCAAAATTTTAAAGTTTTTACTATAGTAAATCAAAGTTTCAAAGTTTTTACTATAGTGAATCAAAGTTCCAAAGTTTTCACTATAGTAAATCAAAGTTCCAAAGTTTTTACTAGAGTGAATCAAAGTTCCAAGGTTTTCACTATAGTGAATCAAAGTTCCAAAGTTTTTACTTTAGTAAATCAAAGTTCCAAAGTTTTTACTATAGTAAATCAAAGTTTCAAAGTTTTCACTATACTATATCAAAGTTTCAAAGTTTTCACAATAGTTTATTAACTGATTAAAGAATTTCAATATTTTTTGGTTATTTTGCCGTTTTAAGGGAATGGAGCTGGGGTTAGGTTGGGGCTGGGGGTTGCTGTACATGTTAATTTATATTTACAAATTAGTTCATTCAAATGCAATATTTACATTTATAAATTATTGAAGTTGATGGAGCAGGTATTTTGGTTCTAAATGACACAAATTTTATTTTGTAGTATGATATATTCCTTTCTCCATTAAAAAAAATTTACACTACATCTGCATTGAATTTAATTATTTAAATAAATGTTGTTCATCTATCGGCGCGAGAGACAACCTTACATTAAAATTCATTTCTTGTATATTATTTTTTTAAGGGAGGGGTCGGGTTTATAAAAAGTTCTCTGAAGCTTTTATGAATTTTGAACATGAAATAAGATCAAATGTCAAAAATGGAAATTGAAAACATAATTCCACGGGTTTAACTTTTAAGTAAATTCAAGTAATAAAGTTTTTACTAATAGAAAATCAAAGTTTCAAATCAAAGTTTCAAAGTTTTTACTATAGTTAATCAAAGTTCCAAAGTTTTTACTATAGTTAATCAAAGTTCCAAAGTTTTTACTATAGTAAATCAAACTTCCAAAGTTTTAATGAAAGTTCCAAAGTTTTAATTAAAGTTCCAAAGTTTTTACTTTGATACTGTAGTTAACAATAGTTTACTATAGTATTTTTTTGTTAGGGTATGTCTTGTTTAACCAGGCCCTGTGCAATATTGAGGTAAGATTGACCTTTCGATATTTTTACAGTTAAAAATGAAGAACTTAGGTTTCAATGTAATTTTTTCAAATACTGATAGTAGTTTTTGCAAAATACACTGTACCATTTTGTTGTCTAAATTGTCTTTAAAAAGAACGCAATTTTCCTTTCTCAGATTCAGTGTAATTAAAA